GGGGCTCGCGGTGGCCCCCGTGACCCCGACACCGCCGCCAGGTGAGCGAGGCTTCTTTACCGCTACCAGGCCGGGCGGGCTGAGGCGATGGAGGGTGACCCGGGGGGAGGGGGGGGGCGCAGCGGGGCTTAGCACGCGGCCACCCTGACTTCCTCGCCTCTGCCTGCGTAGGAGGCAAGGATCGGGAAGCGTTCGAGGCCGAGTACCGACTTGGCCCCCTGCTGGGAAAGGGGGGCTTTGGCACAGTCTTCGCAGGACATCGCATCACAGACCGGCTCCAGGTATCCGCCACGAGGATCTGGGGAGGGTCAGGTGTGCGTGTGGCGGGGGCGGGAGACCCGCGACTGGGTTTCTGATTGACTGGGAACGATCCCACAATATGTGTGAGGTCGGGTCCAAAGAGCCGGGAGCCGGCTTGCAGGGGGCGTTCGCGCGCCCGCGTGAGTGAGTGCGTGTGTGGCGACTCAGGTGGGCGTGTGGGGGAGGGGCAGGGATTAGGGAGGGCCTGAGAGGGAAACTGGGAGCGGGGGATCCTAAGGACTCTAGACCCCGGTATCCAGGGGACGTGTAAATGTGTGTGAAGGTGGGGACCCAGAGCTGAGATTTGGGGGATTTGGGGGGCAAGGTCTCCAGCATGGAATCTTGAGGAACAAGACGCCCGAGACACAGTCGGGCGTCTTGGGGCTTGATTTGAAACATGGAGCGCTTGGGTGTGAAGAAATTTGGAGCTCACAACCTGGACTGCGAGGTTCTGGGCTTGCGAACAGAGCTCAGGGCCGAGGGCTGAGGGCGGTGGGAGAGGTGAACTTGGTCCTGGGGACTTGGCGGGCCAGGGAGAAGCCCCCGGCTCTTTGGGGGTCGTGGTGTGGTGTGGTTGGGGCCACAAAGACTAGGGTGAGGCTCAGGACTGGGAAGGACCCCGGGGTCATCTTCCGCCCCCTTAACTCCCGCCCGTTTCTCCAGGTGGCCATCAAAGTGATCCCCCGGAATCGCGTGTTGGGCTGGTCCACCCTGGTGAGTATCTTCGGAGTCCTTCCTGACCTGGTGGCGCCATAGCTGATGATGGGCTCTCTCGCCCCCTTGCCTCTCTATGGCTTGTTCGCCTCCCTGGGCCCTGTTACTGAGGAGATCACTCCTCCCAGCCCGTGTTTACTCCCCTGCAGTGACATCTACACCTCCACACAATTCTGACTCACCCTAGTTCCCCTAGAGCCCTGGATTCTCCTCTCCAACCCCCCTCTCCCGTCCTCCCTCCAAATGCTGCCTCAGGGGCTGCCCGCGGGGCATGCTGGTGGGAAAAGGGGGGGCAGAGGTCACTGGTTGCCATGGTGACGGTGGCTGCTTCTGTGCCGTTAGCGCGCTAACGGACGGCAGGGCGGGTCTGGGCCAGTTGTAAATGCGGGAGCGCCCCCTGGCGGGAATCTGGGAAGGTGCGCCTGCGCAGTAGCGGAATTTTCATCGCCGTGAGAAAACCTGTCTGCAGCTGTGCAAATCGGTGGCGTGGCCAGCAGAGGGCGCCATCTCAGGCAGAAAGGCTACTTCTGAAAGTCGTTGTGCCCACGTGGGTTTTCTAGAGGGGCGGCTTTTGTGGCTAGTTAACATTAATGCTCTTTATTGAGTACCAAAGTATGCCTCAGGTTTTGCTTCATCATAATAAGCTTACTGTATTCCCAGTCCCACTAATCACTTTCATTCAACCCGGTTCTAGATGCTTGGTAACAGTAAAAAAAATATAACATTGAGCTCTTAATTTGTGCCTGTTCCTTTACAATCGCTCACTTTCAGCTACTTTTAACAAAAGTATATTGAGTACCTGCTAGGCACAATTCTAGGCACTAGGGAAAATGTTACCTTTATTGAGAGCTCGGTTTGTGCTAGCTTCTTTTCTACTAACTGCTTTCACCTATTGAACACATACTATGTATTGAGCCCTACCCTGTTACCAGGCACTGTGCTAGTGCTTGAGCTATGTCAGTGAGCAAAACAGAAACTATTACACAGTAATGGTATTTATTTAGTGCTAACTCTGTGCCAGATGCTATGCTGTAAAGTGTTTTTATCTATTTAATACTTATTGAGCACCTACTGTGCATAGGGTACTGTTCTAAACTCTTTGGAGATGTCAGTGAATAAAACAGATAAAAATATTCCATAATACAGTCTTTCTTTATGAACCACTTTTATGAACCTGGTGGATTTGGCTCAGAGGTTACAGCGGCCGGTGGACCAAAGGGTCTTGGGGGTTCGATTCACGGTCAAGGGCACATCTTAATTGCAGGTTCAATCCCCAGCCCCTGTTGTGAATGGGAGGTGACCGATCAGTGTATCTAACTTTAACGTCTCTCCCCCATCCCTCCACTCTAAAAAAGTCAATGGGAAAAATATTCTCCTCGGGTGAGGATTTTTTTTTTAATTAAAAAGAACC